GGGGTGCGGCCCTGTGTGCCCCTAGGAAGGGTCTGCAGGAGAAGGACAAGATGTGGCTGCTACGGGAGCAGAAGCGCAAGAAGAAGCTCCGCAAGCTGCTCAAGCGCCTGCAGAACAACGACACGTGCAGTATGCCGGGCCTCACGTGCTTCACCCACGACAACCAGCACTGGCAGACGGCGCCCCTCTGGACGTGTGAGCCGGCCGCGCCCGGGGCGGGGGTCCTCCCCAGGGTCCCAGCATCCCCCACCCCCCAGCCTGGGAGTGCTCCCGCCAGACCCTGCGGGTCTTTCAGGAGCAGGCCCCCCGGCAACCTCAGGAAGGGCAGGAAGGGGCTGGCGGCCAGGCTCCCTCGGCTCAGGGCTCGCGCTTTCCCCTGGCAGTGGGGCCTTTCTGCGCCTGCACCAACGCAAACAACAACACGTACTGGTGCATGAGGACCATCAACGAAACCCACAATTTCCTCTTCTGTGAATTCGCGACCGGCTTCCTGGAGTACTTCGATCTCAACACAGATCCCTACCAGGTACAGACAACACAGGCTGGAGAAAGGGGGCCCTGCCAGCTAGGTGGCCAGCGGAAATGACCGACAGGTTTTCCAAGTCCCACGGAGTCAGGAGAAGCCACCAGGAAGGCTGGGGCTCAGGGTGCCACCCACCCTGCCTGCCTGCATCCTCCCAACTCCACAGTCTATGATGGATCACCCATAGCCTCTTTCCTCCAACTTACCCACTTGGGACCGTTACAGCAGGCTTTGTGGGATCTTGGGGAATGCCTAGAACCTGGAGCTTCAGGGGTCCTTAGGGTCAGGCCAAACCCTGTAGACCATAGGCCTAACTAACAATCAGGCAGCCCTTACTCTGCACTTCCATATATTAACCCATGTGAACACGCACAGGACTGAAGCAGCCAGAGAGCCTGGTGAGCAGAACTTGCCTGTCCCTTGTAAAACATGGTCATGACCCAGCTTCAGCATAGAGACTCTCAGTAGCATGGCCTTGGCACTGTCCAGTCTTCTACAGAAAAGCCAAAAAGCAATTTTTTTTATACCCTTTTGTAAATGCCAGCAACTCGACTGTCTTGTCTTGCTATTAATCACCATATAGGCCACTGGGCATCCCCGTATTTTACAAAAGGGGTTGACTGAGCTGATAAGTTAGTGGGTCACAGCAGTACCTGGACCAGGACACTCACACAGACCTTTGCCAAATAGCTGCCTTCCCATCAAGAGGACCTCAGAGGCAGGGAAGGGCTTCTTTCCAGGCTTGGTACATTTGCTGACCGGTAGTTCGAGGAGTTCAGTGTGAAATACATGGTGGTTTTTGAGATTTCATGCACATGGGGCTATAGGAAACTGTCCCAAACCCCAGCACTTGTGGAGGTAGATGTCACCACCCCTTACCAACCACGTACTCCCCACCTGCCCAAATTAGGCCCCCTGGTTGGTAGAAGAGGGTGGGGGGCCTCCCATCCTCATCTCGTTGATAACCTACCTTTTTTCCAACCAGCTGATGAATGCAGTGAACACCCTGGACAGGGACGTCCTCAATCAGCTACACGTGCAGCTCATGGAGCTGAGGAGCTGCAAGGGTTACAAGCAGTGTAACCCCCGGACCCGGAACATGGACCTGGGTGAGCAGGTGCCCCAGGGTGGAAAGGGGTGACCACAGGAGGGGCTTGAGGAGGGCCCATCTGAAGAGTGAACAAAGAACCACCAGGAGTTGGTGAATTCTCTAACATCCACCAGCCACCACTTAGATTTATCACTCTGTGCCCGCCAGAGTGCTGAGTGTTTTCCAGGCATTAACTGACAGGCGTTCTGACGACCCTCTGAGGTAAATCTGCATGTCCTCATTTAGTGATGAGTAATGGGACTGGGTCCAGAGCCCACACACTTGGTCACACTGCCACATCCTCTAGGAAATTTACCAAGAGCCCACAGCTGGGATCTCCCCACTGTCTGTCCTCGGTAGCACAGGTGTTCATACCCACACATGGGTCCCCCACCATGAATGACCAAGGTTAGTGCTGAATGTCTGTGACAGGAGCCTGAAAGGGAAAAAGGGGCCCTCAGAGTATACGTGACTGACAGAGTCTCGGGGACTGCTGGGAATTCAGGCCCCTCTGTGTAGGGGCCACTACAACATCATGGGCTTGTGACCAAAACACTGTGTTTTAAGAAAGAAGAGAGACAGTTATAAAGTTTGTCCTTGCTGCTGCCATTTTTGCCCTAAAATTATGTTTCCACATTGTATGTTTCTCTCTCCTTTAGGACTGAAAGATGGAGGAAGCTACGAGCAATACAGGTATTGCTTTTAAAGTCTGAGAACTGCCCTGTATGGTGACCCGTCCTGTAGTCTAATCTCAGAGGTTGCACGTGTGAGGCTGGGGTGCTGCCCTATCGCTGGTCTGCCAGGGCCTGGCTCACCCACTGGCAAGAGCTGTCCCCTAAAAGGCTTTCTTCGTGTAGTTCTCTGGGGGTCACTTTTTCTTTCTTGGTGATGGTTAATACTCTTTCTCCTTTTGACACTTGAAAACTTAGGCAGTTTCAGCGTCGAAAGTGGCCAGAAGTGAAGAGACCTTCTCCCAAATCACTGTGAGTTGAGGGACCAGCTTACCACTGGAGAGCTGGTCTGGCCCGGTTTGCTTTGCCAAGGCTGTTCCCCACGCATGCCCTTCCTCATTCCTCTCGTCTGTTCCCGTAAGACAGGAAGCAGCCGTGTCAGTCTTTCCAGTAAAATAACCTACTTGGATACACTGCATGTACTAGATCAATACCTTTTCTCCACATCATCATCTCTGCTTTGGAAGCTCAAGGCCTCCCTGAGAGCCTCAGAAGCGTGTCAGTCGGCTGAGTACCAGGCATCTTGAAGGCTGTGGCTGCCGAGCTGCTCCCGGGTCCATAGTGTCAGCAGCAAGTGACCTCATTAAATGGTTTCCAGAACACCCATGCTACGAGTTCACCCACACTAGGGTCAGCAGAGGCTATGAGGGGCCAGGAGGCTGTGGCAACCTGGAGAGGTCACTCTGCTTTAAAGAGAACAGAATGGGATGCAGTTTGAATCCTCTGACTCATTGAGAAAATGCAGAAATGCAGATATATAACAATAATTTGTTAATGGTGGCAACTAATCTGATGTGAAGTTACCGTACAGGCCAATCACTCCGTGGCGAGCTGCCATTTGTAACCTCCGGCCTCCTCATTTTCTATCATTATATGCATATAAGTCTGTTTGGCTTTAACAGGAAAATAATAATGGGCCAATTAAGCATTTCTTTGGTGCAAGGAGAATCAAAGTACTTCTCACATTCCTTAGCCACCATCCTGTCCAGATCCTTAAACATCATCTTTGCCAGTCACTAGGTGTGAGCCAACAACTGACAATCTAGACAATGAGATAACAGCAAGCCCTGTCTGAGGGATCTGGAGTTAATTCCTTCTCAGCAGCCACATCCTTGAAGCAAAGCCGACTCAGCTGTAGGGCCGAGTAAGAAATGCTTCAGCAGCGTGATACACTGTCCGCTTTGCTCTACAGGGGACAGCTGTGGGAAGGCTGGGAAGGTTAAGAAGCATAAGCTGGACCTCCAAAAACAAGAGGCGTCGCCTGTACAGTGAAAACCCTGAATGATTTCCAGCAGACCTGTGCTGTTAGCCAGGAGGCTGAGACACACGGAACCCGCCTTCAGTCAATGCGGCAGATTCTGGACGAGAACCAACGGGAGCAGTGAGACTTCCGGAAGTCCATGCTTGTCCCTGCTTTTGCTTTGGATTATACCTCACCAGCTGCACAAAATGCATTTTCATATCAGAAAGTCACCACTAACCCTCTCTGAGGGGCTCAAAAGGGAAAAAGAACAGAGAGATTTTCTTGGAAATTTCCCCCAAGGGCGAAAGTCACTGGAATTTTTTTAAATCACAGGGAAAGAGCCACCCTGTTTTAGATCCTCTTATTCTTTTGGTTCCTCACAAAGAAGGAGCAGGACAGAGGCAGGAAATGGTGCACCAAGTTTGACAATGAGTCAATAGCACAAAAGACACGAATTTCTATCTCGCCCTATAACCCTGGCTGCCTCTGAAGACAGTGACTTCAATGTATATGTGTGACTATTTACATGTAACCAGCTCAGAAACTTCTAGGGGAATCTAATAAGAAAACCCAATTTTCAGGAGTGGTGGTGTTAATAAATGGTGTGGCCCGTGTAAAAGAAAACCCCGTGCAGTTGTGGACATTCCTCTTCCTGACCAGATGCCATTTCTCCCAGGATTCCTTTGTTATCTGTCCCAGAACTGATATTTTTTAAAGTCCTGCAAAGACAGGAAGTTGATGTATGTCCCAAGTTTTAACAAGATTGTATTTGTAAAGAAATTTTGTAGTCTACGTATTGTCATACAATGTTGAAAACCCCAGCCAATGACCAGCAGTTGGTATGAGGTAACCTTTGACATTTTTCTAAAAGGCCATTTCTTGGGAGTTTTTTTTTTTTGGTGTGTTTGGTTTTTTTGTTTTTAAAAAGAAAAGCATTTGAGATACTACCAGTCAACACCTTTTTGGAAGAGGCGACACCTTGGGTTTAGATGGTTTTTTAAAAAGGGCTATATGTGGTTATAAACTGGCTAGAATTTACCATACTTTGGGAACCTTAAAGATAAGTCTCATATCACACCAGCTCTAGGATCACACTTTGTAAACATAGTGACCAATGGCAAAGCTACTCACGTTAGCCAGCCCTTCTCCATGTACCAGGCAGTCCGACCAGTAAAGGCAGCTGTGGAAACGCTAGACTGGGAGGAGGAGGAAGAGGAACTTCCTGGCTCTGCACATTTCTCCCTAACAGGTGACCCCTAAGCACTTACCTTGTGTGTAAGAAGAGGGCCATGCTTTGCAAGATTTCTTTTAACCTCACAGAAACCTTTATCCATTATCTGAAACACAATTTCTTATATTTTAACCTGAATTTGACTGGGATTTAAAAAAAGAAAAAGCGGCACACTCTTGGCCTTCAATTTTAAATAGAAACCTTTATTTACAATGATGTCCAAAATGATTAAAGGAGTCATAGCTTACCACTCAACTGTCTCATAAGTTAGCCCACGTGCTTTGAATTCTCTGCAGTGTAAAGCATGATTTTTATTTTTTACAAACATTTAATGTAAACTTGTTTTAAAGTGAATTCATTCTCAATACTGTAAGTCAATTCCTGAGAATTTAAATCTTGCTCTCAGAATGACATTTCCATCTTCTTCAAAAGAGAGAGAGAGAAGACGCCCTGCTCATGATTACACAGCCTGCCTTGGAGCTGAACAGCAGCTCCTGCTCTTCTGCAGAAGGGGACAGTTCATCTGTCCGAGCGGCTTCACTACTATGAATTTCCCACTTGCAAACAAATGCATGGCTTCTGCAAATAAAAAGGGAACTAACTGAACAGGCATATGGGTAACTGGCAACCCATTCTGTTTACTTTTCAGCTGCATCAGGTCTATGGATCATGGAACTTAGAGGACAGCCAGCCAACTCTGTTCTGTAGTACCCACCCCATACACCCCAGTTCACCTCAGCCATTAAATACCGATTAAGCATCCTGCTGATTGATATTTACACCTTTCCATCAAGATGCATGATTTAGAAAAGCGGCATCATAATATGAACATTAACAATGGATTTCTATTTGTTTTTTAAAAGGAAGAAATGTTATCTCCTTTATATCATTTTGATCTTTATAAAATATATATTTATATTTATATATCTTTGGATTCAGCAAAAAAGTAGGTACTGGAAATATCTCACATTCTAAAAGCAGATGAAAACGTTACTTATACTGTTCACCCAACAGATACTAAGGTTTAAAAAGTGATGGGAGGGGGACGGAGGAGAGGTAGGCAGCAGAAGTACAAAGAATTATCCATAAAAAATAAAAGGGGAATTAAGGTAAAAACAACAAATTATCTCAAAGACTGCCATCTATTAAAAGAAAATCAAAATCTTAAATTTGCACCAATAAAATGAACAAGTAGAAAATATAAAAACATAATAAACTTCACTTTTCTTCCATATAAAAAGGGGGTGTTGCCTTCCACTTAGCCTGGAGTCAGAATGGACTGAGAAAAAGAATCCCAAAACTGAGTTTTTAATTAAAAGTCAAGAAAGGTAAGAGCACCATTCTATTTCTCCCCACATACATGCAACTTCAAGAAAGGTTCAGATATACCTGATGCAATTGTGTCTAAAAAGAGACTCTTACTCAGCTCTGCCTCGGTCTCCAGACCGGGGGATGCATTATCTGCAAAGTGCAGGCCCCTGGGATGGAAGCTAATGGATTTGTAGTCTTAGATTTACTTTTAACCAGGTGGGGGAGTGCGAAACTCAAATCCACTTTAGTGGTGTTTCTGGAAATACAGGTTTCACTTAGTCATACACAAGTCAAAGAAATCAAATGATCTTACCTTCAGACACACCTAGAAAGATTGGCTAAACGGGTGAAAAAAATTTTAACTGGCTCTCAGTTATTGCTAAGAAATGACACCAAGGCTAACAGATATTGAAATTCATAGATAAGTCTAAAAACCCCATTTCATTCAACTGCTTGAACCTGATAAAGTAAGCCAGGTAAAGGGAATCAAACTTGACTTTCTTCCCTATTCCCAACTGACAAGCGGCAGCAGCAAAAAGGGGTGGCGGAGGAGGAGAGAGGGAATACAAAGGCGCCCAGTCAAGACCCTGGCTCTGAATCACATGAAAATGGCTGCTCTGCAGACAGAACTCTTTAGGAAATAACCATGATGCTACTTCCTCCGATTCTCGGGACATCACAGTAGGAGAAGGACAAGACAGCTGAGCAGATACCAGAAACCACACATCAAGGATTCTACGCCTGAGATCTCAATGTGGAATTCAAGTCCTAGCAACCAAAACCTTAGAGCACTCCTAAAATGGATGAGAAGATGACATGTTCAATTAAAAAAGAAAATACCATGACTTGCTATTTATGGACTGCCTAAAAATCCAACATTCTTCTTTGAAATCAAATTGCTTGATCTTTTAAAATTCTTGATTTTTTCTTAAGTGTATTTCCCCTCATCTGTTCTCTCCCCCCAAATTAACGAAGTGCTTAATCTGGTAGAGAAATTGTTTTTAAAAAACATAAATGCCTACATTTAAATGATCACTTAAAAAAGCATTTAGATTAAGAGACTGAACAGGAGCGAGGCATCTAAGGCTAGGGGCAAGGAAAACCTGTTGGCCACAGCTCCCCCCCCACCAGGCCACAAAATTCAGGGCACGACTTCTACTGGTAACCTCACCACACTGAACTTACTGAAACTGACAATGTTAAATATTTAGCTTCACAAACTCTGTAAAAATGAGTTGTTGTGGCCTACAAAAAAAAAAAAAAAGTATATATACATATGTTACATCATACAATAATCTTAAAGGTCATATTTACAAAAGAAAATCTATTCACAGAAACACTGCAAAATTCTGATTCAGAATGCAGTACCTGGCCTTGGGGTTTCTGCAGTTTATTTTCAAAAAGCATTATTGCTCTACCATATAGGCAAAGGGTGAAACCAGTACTTTTCACAACAACAAAAATCGTAGTTCTTGTCCAAGAGGTAAGTTTAGACAACAACTAGGAATGTGGTTCACCATTCCTCAAGACCGAGAGAATATTGCATGTATCCATTACTTTTTAAATAAAGTGCACTCGGCTGCACGTCAGCAAGTGAAAAACTGCCACCGCTGCAATTAAATACTGTCGTCCATTTCCCTTCTGCAAAGCCATCTGACATCAAGGACAATTCCTGGAGGTGAAGTATTATAGGACGTTAGGAGCAGATAAAAATCCTATTTAGGAAAAAGCCTAGGACAACCAAGAGGAGGGTGGGAGCTATCCTTAAAGGAGAACCTGGATATGCCACCTTCACAAGACAGAGCCTGTGACAAAAACCCTCGTAAGTGGACCACACTCTTCACCCAGTACTGTAGCAACTATCAAGAAACCAGATGTTCTCATCTCATGATTTCTCCAATGTTCTCTGGCCCCACCTCCATTTTTTCCAAAGACTCTGGACAGCCAAGCAGAAAAAAAGTGACACAGGACAGTCTGCAATCAGTAACACTCCGTACCTCCAGAATCATATCCCCAAAAGGCAGAATGCCAAAAATATTTGTTTTAAACACCATGATACATAGGAGGAGGGAAAGAAAACAGGTAGATACCACACTTCAGCTTAAAATTCAGTCCTGCTCAAATGACATCACTTGAAATACCGTTGATGGAGATTGGAGCTGGTCCTTTCTTCAAAGCTGGGTGCCTAGAACAATGATTCACTACTCCCAGGAATCCTAGCACAGTGTCATTTGTACAGTGATTTCCTTGGAGGTCATGGTGTAGACATGTCAGCAATATTTCTGTTGGCAACCAGAAGAAACATGAGTAAAACATACACTTTGTCCAACAGAAAAGAATCCCTGTGTCTCCACGGATGGCTTGCCACATGGCTCTGGCTGACTGATTCAGTCCTTAGATACCAGGTTTCTAAAAGTATCAAATGGCCCAATGCCTTCAAACCAAAAGTTTTTTCAAGGATTATATATTTTAAGTTAAACATCCAAGTTAAAAATCTATCTAGGACCTTTACATTATAGTTCAGGCTTTGGTTCTCTCCAGAGAACAGGGGAAAAATGTTAAGAAAGGGAAGGAACAAAACCCCGTACCTGATCAGGACCCATGGGCATGCCAGCCATGGGCATGGAGTTCATGTTCATCTGTCCCATGGGACCACTGCTGCCGTTCATGTGTACCATGCTGTACGCTGCAGGGTTCCCCTGGTGGGCAAACTGCTGCTGGGGAAAGCTGCTGTAAAGAAAAGTGGGAAATTACCTCCTGGGTCATTTTCAAAACAAAGGACAGGCACACAGAGACCACCACAATTCTGTCAGTGTTGCTGTGCTTAAGCAGAGAACATGAGTGAGAAAACTTGGACAGCCTGTCTTCTCTCTTTCACAGTTGTCTGTGCTCATATCCTTGTGGATATGCACACAGTAGGAAGGTGTCTCAGAATGGATGAGCCAAATAACACTCTCTAGTATCAGCCAGGGCCTTTGGATCTCCCCATCCAAACAGGCTTGGTTGCAAAACAGAGACTTAATTGCCTGAACTTTCGGCACATTCTAGTGGCTGACTTTCAAAGTCCTGTTCTAGGAATTTCCCAGCAGTCCAGTGGTCAGACTCTGCACTTTCACTGCACAGGACCTGGGTTTGATCCCTGATCAGAGAACTGAGGTCCTGCAAGCCTGGTGACACAGCGAAGAAAGAAGGCCCTGCTCTTCACCTGTTCCTGGCCAGGGTTCCTGACGGCCATCCCTTCATTTCTGAGGACTGATACATGGGTGTGGTCTGAGGATGCTGCATCATGGGATTCTGGGAGGGACCCATTCTTGATGACATCATTGCATTGGGAGGACTAGGCACTCGACCAAAGGCTGGATCTGGTTGTTGTCCCATCCCTTTAAAAAAGAAAGAAGAAAAGGAAATTACAACGCTCAAACGCCGCTGCTGCTAAGTCGCTTCAGTCGTGTTCAACTTTATGCGACCCCATAGACGTTAGCCCACCAGGCTGCCCGTCCCTGGGATTCTCCAGGCAAAGCCACTGGAGTGGGTTGCCATTTCCTTCTCCAGCTCAAACGCTACCTCCCTAGAATATCAGCTTTCCACAGAAACTTGAGGTTCTTTTTTTTTTTTTTTTAAGGTGGGGGAATGTGGTTAAATATAAGGTATATAGATGCTGCCTGTCAGTAATTCTTGCTTCTCCCCAAGGTGACAACCAGAGCAACAAGCTTCCCATACAGACCCTCCCCCATCTGGATCCCCAAAGGGCAGCCACCCCAGTGAGCTTTCTGATACAAGGGGCACCAGGTCACATCCCTCCACCCTGGATCCCCAAAGGGCAGCCACCCCAGCGAGCTTTCGGACACAAGGACACCAGGTCACGGCCCTCTGCCCTCCAGCCCTCTTTAGAGCACAGGGCTGCTGTCCCTGGCCGAGGGATGCACCTCAAATGTCAGCTCCCCAAGAGATTCCTCGAGCCCCACTCCGTCATGTTTCTGGAACCTCAGAGAGGCATGACTGTAACTAATATGCCCAAGCCATCAAGGAAAAGAACTCAGAAGCCTACACAGTGCCTTCCTCTCACTATTCAGCAATGGGGCGGGGATGTCCTGGTAAGGCTTTCTTCCAAATTAAGAGGTGAGGAACTGAAAAAGCAAGACCAAGGGGGAGAAACCTCAGCTACTGAGCAATCATCTACCTCAATGACAATCACCTGTGCATTCAAGTAGAGTTTTGTTCTGCTATTTTTAGTTAATCTGTTTCTCTTATGAAATAATAAGAGAGTGAATAGCATTTGTTTTTAACATACAACACATCTAATGAACATTACGTCCTCAGGAATGTTACTTGGAGGTAGACATGATCACTGTCGAGTATACCGTAATTTGGTGGGTATGGAAACTGCTGGGGTGGAGCTTGCGGCATGGCAGGCCCAGCCAGGACCCCATCCATGCTGGGGGACGCAGTCACATTCGGAGGTGGACTGAAGGCCTGGGTTTGCTGCTGCTGCTGCTGCTGCTGCTGCTGCTGCATCATCATCGCCACCCTCTGCTGCCGGAAGTGATGACTCAGCAGCTCTCTACTGCGCTGGGCGACCATCTGAGCGTTAAGGAAACCCTGCTAACACCAGAGAAAAGAACACAATTACACATAGCAAGAGTCAGCCAGTTTCATGTGTATGGTGCACCCAGAACACACTAGGTATCAAAGAAAAAACATCCAATGCTTTTATCATTAGAAAAAAGGAAATGCCCAATTCTCATTATGCTAACAGCTTTCTGACTCGGTATGGGGGTGGGTGTTGGGGGGAGCAGAACAGGGACCTCGGTATTACTGAGGGCTAAGGGACAAAAGCAGCTTCCCAGGTGGCCCAGTGGTAAAGAATCCACCTGCCAAGCAGAAGAAACAGGTTCAATCCCTGGGTTGGGAGGATCCCTTGGAGAAGGAAATGGCAACCCACTCCAGGATTTTTTCCTGAGAAATCCCACGGACAGAGAAGCCTGTTGGGCTACAGTCTGTGGGGTTCCAAAAGAGTCAGACACAACTTAGCACTAAACAACAACAGTGGATGAAAGCAGACAAGTCATCAGGCTTCAACATAGTTAGAAAACAGTCCTCAAAGTGAGAGAATATTTAGGAGTAGAATTTGAGGACAAACTTCTCAAAAAGAAGCAAAGGGGCAGGAATAAGATTCTGTTTGGGGGAGAAGCAAAAGAGAAGCCAAAAATAAAGCAAAGGAGTGCAGTTTACACAAAGAAGCAGGAATCCACTTCTGAAGGCCTTAGAGTCTCTAAACCTCTGACAGAGAAGGTAAGGAGATGACATTATCAAAGCACTGAACAAGGAAGCTGATTTGCCAGCTAGGAGAGATCATCTCTCCAAAAAAGCAAAACTTAATCACCTTTTTAGAAAATATCCTAGCTCAGCTGATACAGAATGTCTGATGATCAAGAAAATATATAGGTACTGGTACTTCCCAGCATGCCTAAGCGAGTGAAAACTAGGCGTTTCACAGTTGATGATGTTGATGTGGTATTTCAAACCACAATAAGGGATTTTCATGTAGCCTTGTGCACATTATGGAAATGCCTTAATACAGTGTCCAGCTTGGGCTGGAGGCAGAGACCATTAAGAACATCCCTCCGACCATGGGAAATCAGTCATCTCAAAGACTGTTACGGAGAGCGGGATTATGCATTTTTTTTTTTTCTTCTTTAGATTTCTTATATCAAATTCTACCCAGTGAGCATGTAGTTTCACAATCCAGGAACAGAGACAAGTTTACAGATTTATTATTTTCAATCCCTAAAAAGTAAGTGGTAGCAGTTTCACAACATAGCATGTGATCACAAAGGGAATTAACTTTAAAAACACCAATCAGTAGTCAAAAAAAAAAGAACCTCTTCCTCTGATTCTTGCTAGTAACCAAAAGGAAAAAATGAAGGGAAGAAGAAAAGTGTGACAGGACCCTGGGATGGTTTCTTACACAAGGAATTTGAGACTGTGCACCATCTCTGTCTCTAAGTATTTCCTGAGGGTCAAGCAGGGGCCCAGCCCTATGCGGAGCATCCAAGCCCTGAGCACAGACACACATCCTCACCTGGGAGCTGACCTGCGGCTGCATCATGGGCCTCATCACTGCCGCCCCGCCAGCAGTGGGGTTTTCCATTTTCATTTCAAGTGCCTGACGGCTCTGATTCAAAAACTGGGGAGAGACAAGGTGGTTAGGGTGCAAGTGGAGCTCATTAATGAGGCCAAAACAACTATCTACACCCTCGGCACCACTCAGCAAGATCGTGACAACACCTCTAAACCCATTAACCTGGCTAAGTTATGGCTAAGCTGAACCAGTACACTCTCACATTTCAAAAAGGTTGGTGCTGAAAAGCCCCTGGCCAGCACAGGAGGCTTTCATGTTCAGCATCAGGAGGAAAAGTGAAAGTGCAATTCTACACCTTAAAGAGTATCTTCAACAGGAACTCAAAGGATTTACACAGTCAATTTTCTCAGTCATAATTTAGGCCACTGGGGAAACTGCTTTAATTTGATCAAAGTAACAATGGAGAAAACTACTTCTGTTGCCTCTTCCTAGGTATTTTTTACTGGAAAGAAACTGTAAGAAGTAAAGGGATCCCGTGAACGCATTAACACAGCTCTCCTGAGTAGCTGCACTGACTTAGGGAACATCAGTGCAAGAGTCCTCAGCTCGCTAGATTCTCAGTTCATTCATCTGCTTATGTGGTTCAGTTTCCCCACATTTAAGAACTCTGCACACTCAAGATACAAAAAAATATAAACAATTAAATCCCTAAAAATTTGTTATGAACTAAGGGACAATGGGAAAAGATATTGAGTTCAAGTTTTATAACATATCTAAAAAGCAGAGGTTCTTTAAAGTGAGTGCTCAAATCAGTCAGGTTCCATAGTGCAGTGCAAGTCGCTTAGTCGTGTCCAACTCTTTGCGACCCCATGGACTATACACAGTCATGGAATTCTCCAGACCACAATACTGAAGTGGATAGCCTTTCCCTTCTCCAGGGAATCTTCCCAACCCAGGAATCGAACCCAGGTCTCCCACATTGCAGGCGGACTCTTTACCAACTGAGCTCAGGGAAGCCAATAAGATTTCAATACCTGTCTATTAATAGGACATTTTAATAATAAAAACTGTCTACCTCTAAGGCTATGAAGCCATCAAGAAACACTACTCTCCCCTGAGAGCAATCCTGATATTTTTTATTTTTCAACCTGTACAGCAGAATATTCTTACAGAAAGGTATCCAATTCTAGTACAACCACTCCCTAGCAAGGAACTGTCTATACAAATACAATGTTACACACCAATAAAAACAAAAGGAATTTCTTTAGTTGAGGAAGGACAGAGAGCCAGCAGCAGGAGCTGGAAGAATACAGTCCGAAAACGGAAGAGGAAGTAGCAAAGGGAAACGGGCGTGTGACTGGTTACCTGCTGGCCCTGCAGCCTCTGCTGAAGCTGCATTCTAAGTTGCTTGGGAGTGTTTGTTCGGGGTCTCATGATGTTGGCACGAGGGTGCATTCCCTGGAGAGGAAAACTGCCTTGCTGGTTCATCTGATTCATCATCGAGTTAAAAGGTGGTGATTGTCCCTGAAGATTAAAGCCTCCTTGCATCGGAGGCCCCTGCGCGGGGTACGTCTGCCCATATAATGCTGCCTTCTGCTCCATCATTACTGCTGCTTCTTGGCCTTGGAAAGCGTCCTGTTTGGGCTCCAAAGCTTGTCCCTAAACATCAAACACATAAATGAACTGTGAAGTACACATAGGGAAGCAACAGAAACCAAACCCACTAAAAGAGGTGAAAAATAAAGTCAATGTATGTGAGGACGGGTGCTGCAGGATTTCAACACCAAAATCAAGCTTACTGTCTGAAGTTCGTTCCACGAGAACAGAGACCATGCCATCTTTGAATGGCTGTGTCCCAGTGCCTATGGAGCACAGAGTCCCACACAGAGAGACGCTTGAATATTTCTGAGCCAAATATCAACAAAGTACTGAGTACCTGGAGAAATACTATTTCTTCCAAACAAGATTTCTGTACCAACAATGAATTCTTATGTACTCTGCCCAAGAGTGTTTTTGAAGGTGGTAAGAGGTAAATTTAGTAGAGACAGGTAAATCAACAACAGTTTATGCCCCCAGGGTGTAGTCACCACATGAACAAAACCTAAAGGTGTTCAGTCGTCCACTACTATTTGTGCCTGAGAAGAAAGAAACCTATTAATTCAACAAGTATTTATTGAGTGATATGTGCCAGGTATCACTTCTCTGCATGCTAACCCCACATACAAAGTAACACCCAGCAGAAAAACCAGGCTCTCTAAAGGAAGGGACAGCCTGCAGTGCTCAGAAGGGCCAGGCAGCGCTGCGCTGCCTTTACCTCCTCATCCCCAAGCACGGGTGCCACGTGTGCAGCCACCACCCTCGCCAGTCCCGTCCTAAAGCACACCTCACCCCTCTCAGGCCTCTCCCTGGAGGGCTGTCAAGAGTTCATCTGCCCCAGGCGCCCCTTCTCTTGCTATCTTCCCCACTGTGGTATTCTCTCCCACTGGTGACAACCGTCAAGTGTCTATCTCTAGCTCCAGGGCCTTGGACTCTGTGCTCACACAGAAGCCCATTCAACATCTTTACCCAGATGTCCCAGGCATCTCAAACTTAACATGTAGAGGACAGAAGGCATGATTATCAACAGTTCTTCCTACAGGAAAAAAACAAAAAAGCCCAATTCTCCTTCAATCTTCACTCACGGCAACATCATGCACCCAGAACTAAATGCCAGGCCTTGATTTCTCATAGTCTCCTTCTCACACAAGTGCACACACAGCCCAAGTCCTATCAGCTTTTCCTCGGTGACATATCAGATAGGCTTCTCTTCCTATCAGTCCACTGCCATGACTCTTCCCAAGACACTTTTTCTCTGTGCCTCTTCTAGACAGCGATCTAACATTTCTGTTTACAAAGTAAACCACACTATTAATATAACACACCTGTGTCTCTCTTGCTAGCCCTGCTGAAATGACAGTAAACAAGTTAAATGGTAGTATTTATCAAAAAAAAAAAAAAATGAGAGAGAGAATATTGACAGCAACAAGATAAAAAAACTGAACAGGCATCTGGTAGGCAGAAAGGAGAAACTGACACCATCTACCCGCAAAGAAAATGCTCTTGAGGCCCGAGTCAATGTCTCCCGTGGAGCTAGGGCAGCACTCCACTATGGACGGCAGAAGGTCAAGGAGTGCGCCCAGACAAGGGGCTGGTTAGGTCAAGGAGTGCGCCCAGACAAGGGGCTGGTTAGGAGTCTGAGCACAGAGCAGGGGAGCCCCCCAGCTCCAAATGGCCGTATCTTCCACCTACTTCCACAAGGCCTTGGTTCAGGGACACCAAGCCCAGAAGAGGGCAGGAGCAGGACAGGAACTGAAAACAGGGAATCTTAGATCCCTATAATTGCTAGTAAAATTTTATATTTTAGAATTTTATATCTTAAGCACTACAGGATCATCAACTTGCCTTTGCCTACCCATCCCAGCTCCCAAAATGCAACCAGGTAATTTAAAAATTTCTAGGGAAGAAAGAGTCTTCTCTAGAAAATCTATATAAAATTCTATATGGGGGATGGGGGCAATGACAACTCAACATGCTACAATTTGGGGAGATCTAAAATAAAGGCCAGTTTCCCCACCCCAAGTTAGTCACTTTCAGTGAAGACAACTGATCCTGCATTCTTAAATATAAAAAGATAATCAAGGATCAGCAGATACTTGATGATGAAAGCTTCAAATATCAAAATGACTCAAACAGGAAGTAACTTAAAAATACAGAAGATTAAAAAAAAATAAAAAGCCACTACAGAAACCCATATAACACTCAACATGTCAACAGACATCCCAGGAAGATCAGGGAAAAAAAGATTAAAATCACTTAAGAAATATCTTAAAATGCCCCCAAACCAAAGGGAATATCTGCCTGTCTATTAATAATACACAGCAGAATGAATGAAACGAGACCCATATCAAGACAAGGAATCATGGAATTTCAGAGGGAAAAGGTTCCTAAATAATTCCAAAGAGAATAAATGGGTAGCACACGAAAGTAGAGGAATCAAGACTGGAATACAACTCAAGGACAACACTGGATGCCAGAAACTATGCAACTATTTTTTTATACGAGGAAATTATTTTCAACTTAGAATTTTTTACACAGTTACACTGAGGGTAGAGACTATATGTGCCTATGTGTATGCAGTGGGTAGAGGCATGGGGATGCTTACTGGAGGAACAGGATATAAATACAGATATACAATTTATCTAAAATTCCAAAAGAAATTTTTAACTCTTAAAAAAAAAAAAAAAAAAAAGACTGAACATTTTTCATTAAAACCCAATGTATTTTACAGCAAAACCTGGCCTGAGCCTGTATAAAGCAATATATAATCTCTATAATATCCCACTTAGTGTGACTATGTATTTTGCTGTAGAATTATTAGCTCATTTGATCACAGGCTACTGCCCCAAAATTATAGTACTGCTCGAAACTTTTTTATAAAGAGTATTTTGTAATATATACCAATATGTACCAATTCTATCCTTCTAAAATCCCCAAATTCCTCAATTTCAAAGCATATCTGACACCCAGGTTCAGATAAGGGACTATAAACATGTAGTCAACTTTCAAATCCAGGAATCAACAGACAGAATGAAGCTGGTAAAAGAAATAGCTGCGTAAGCATATTTCTTAGAAATATTATCAAAATAAAGAGGTGAGTTTCACTATCTCCCAGTGGGGCAAAGGACTGTGGTTCTTCCATAAGCATATTTTTCTATCATTTTACTTTTTAACTTAAAAACAGATATTTTGCTAAAAAATAAAAATTACAACAAAAAAAGGAAGTCCGGATTCATCCTTACTCTGCTGACAATCCTTTCATGGCTTCCTAATACACTCCTCTTTGCTCTCACCAACCTCAGCCACTTCCTAGAACCCGCAAGCTCTTCCCCAGCTAAGCACCTTTGAGTTAGCCGTTCTTCTTCTGGACTATCCTTCCCCTAAGCTGTCTGCCTAGCTGGCTCTTTCTCATCCTTCAGACATCAGCTTATATGTCATCTCTCCAGAAAAACCTTTCCTGTTCGAATCAGTCCCCCGTTAATCTCTATCTCATCAACCTGGATTTGAAAACAGAAACATTTTTAAACTAAAGAATGAACTATAAACAAGCTCCTGCTAAAAGAAACTTGGCAAACTATTTACAATACATTGGACAAGTTAACCGTCATCCTGCAAACATGCTTTTTAGAGGAATTTTAACATCCCGCCCCACCCTAAGAAAAGGTTCCTTAAATAAAAGGGTCTCATAGCATCACGTGCCTTTCCTCGTAACTTCTCCTTCATCATGTCTACTTCTATCAGCGTGATCCCACGCCTGAGCTCAGGGAGCAGGAAATTAAGTTGTTCACTATTGCTCCTCAGGCTCCAAGAAAAGGCTGACTGGCATACAAAAGACAAGTATTTGTTAAACAAAGGAAAATGAAAAGTGAAAGTCGCTCAGCCGTCTCCAGCTCTTTGCAACCTTTAGACTATAGGAATTCTCAAGGCCATGGAATTCTCCAGGGCAGAATACTGGAGTGGGTAGCTGTTCCCTTCTCCAGGGGATCTTCCCAACCCAGGGATCAAACCCAGGTCTCCCGCTTGGCAGGCAGATTCTTTACCAGCTGAGCCACCTGGGAATCAACAAACAAATCAACAGCTAAACAAAAAGCACCATTTGAGATCAACAAAATAAAAACCCATTGGAACTATTAAACACATCTCAATTGTCAAAAAATACAAAATATGTTCAATCTTGCTAAACAGATAAATATGATTTAAAATAAGAATCTGTGTTGGCCATCAGACTGGCAAGGACTGGAAAGAACAATCATGTTCAGTACTTGTCCAGCCACTTGCTCATTCACACCATGGGCTCTCTCATCTTCGTGGGCCGGGCCAGCAGTGCTGGTGAGGGCGATGGACTGCAGGACTGCAGTCGTCACAGCCTGCTGTAGAAAAGCAGCTGTGCAATCGTTCAGAAAACCCCCTGAGAGTATGTAGATAAACCTCTAAAATAAGCACTCTACCCCAGCTTCTCTTGAAATTGGCTAAGAAAACAGCCTCCTTAACAAGATGTAAGTAATTCACAGAATTATAACAATACTTAGGAACAATTAAATTTTCATCAGTAGACAACTGGTTAAATAGTGTTTAATAAAATGGATACTATTTGACCATTAAAGATGTATATACTAAACAAAAAAGATGACTGAGGACGACTTTCTTAAGGTAAAACAGACTACCAAAGTATATTCAGTCTACTCTCTTGTTTTATATATACACTCAAAAGTTACTTATGATTCTTTGTGCCAAGATTATGGAGGAAGTTCAACTTTTTAAAAACACATGGACTTTTGTGATTGTCAGATTTTTATATAAGCACCATTAACTATTTTATCTTGAGGACAAAGAAAGCTATTTTCAGCTTCAGTAAAACCCTAGTGGCAGTTAGTTTCTTGGTCCTCATGTGACCCTCACGCCCTCCCTCAGCGAGTAGGACACTGCTCCTCCCCAGCAGGGTCACAGGTGGCTGGTGCCCACCCGCAGGAGGACATCACCACTGCTCTGTGTTTCTCATCCGCTCTTTAAAAAGGTCTGTAGAGTGTTGCCACATTAGAGTATACATGTTTTTATACATCTCTGTTTCCCCAACAGAGCCTGAGAACCAAGGATCACTGCCCGCTTATCACTGAACACACAGACTGAAACAGTGCCCCCAAACATGCATCCTATATATGAAAAGATCCACTACAAAATTTGTGTTTCAAAAAATATTCATCAATGGCATATCTTCATACAGATGAACAGATAACTGCAAATAGGAGATGGTGGTGTTGAGATGTTCACAGATTTACCACTGTAAACAGGTTTTGTTTATCACAAAAAGTCTGCCTCCTCAGAGTACACACTTGTCTGCCAGGTAGTAAAAAGAAGTTAATTATAAAAATAAGGATTCAACTAACATAAGCAAAAAGCAGCATTTTAAAAACTATATAGTGGTTTTACTGGATCATTTCTGTGGTTGCCTAAAATGTGACATATTTATAAAACAGCAGATTGCTGGATGTTCTATCCCAGTTAAAAACTATTTTCTAAGTTTAATGCTCATATCCATGAACACAGTGCTTTATCATAAGGAAAAGGAAAGATTAGGTGCTATCATACATGGCTTCTCTCTCTCTCACACACACACACACACCCCTACTTCCCTGATACACAAGTTCAGGAATGCCCAGAGCTCTGTCGTACGTGGCTTCTCACATAAACTCACACACACACACTCACACTCTCCTACTTCCATGGTACACACACACACACACTCTTGTTTCCATGGTACACACACTCACACTCTCCTACTTCCATGGTACACACACACACACGCACACGCACTTCTACTCCCACAGTACTGCTACCTACCTGATTTACAAGCTCAGGAATGCCCAGAGCTCTGTCAATCTCTTCCAGGCCTGTGGCATCTGTGTTGCTCAAGAGTGTGTGCAACTGATCCAACAATGCTCTTTCATCACTCTGGCCTTCTAGGTTAGAAGGTGGCCCAAGGAGATCATCCAGGGAATTCCTAAGAATCGGCCTAAAAAGAGACATCGAATCAACTTCAATGGTGCTTTTCCTCTTTGGAAAAAAAAAGCAAAATAACCCCACACAATATTTTTAACATGCAATAACTCAAATGATACAAGTATCAATTATAAACTAACAGAACAGCAGAGTAGAACAAATGGCATCAATTTAAATTCAAGACCCACCATTTTAAACCTCACGAGGTCATCTTCAACTACCACATCTAACTTACAACTTCCAACCCCACCACCAAAACGTAACTGCTAGATCCCTTGGTATTTAGAGGACAGCAGAGATTTGGCAGGGGCAGGTAGAAGGATGGGAAGAATGAAGAGGGCAGTGTTTTCAAGACCCTACTAGAACAGAAATGACAGTTAGGGTACTTGCAGGTTGGAAAAATCAACAAAAGAATGGAAAAAAAGGAGACATGCTGAACTGAGTCTGGGGATCTACCGAAATAACTCTGTCTCATACTCGGCACACAGGGTGCCGTACTGACAAGCCCCACACGCCCACAGCAGTGCCACAGCTCTCTGACAAGTTACAGGAGCATGGAGCCAGACAACATACCCAGCCTCAGAAAAATTCCGTCATGAAACTGTTTGCTCTCTACAGAGCAAAAAAACAATCAAGCTAATAAACTCATGTAATTACACTTCCATCTTTTCAACAGATCAATTCATTTCCATTTGCTTAATTTATTGTAGAACTCAAGTTAGAGCTGACATTGACAGGTGGCCTCTTTCATGCAAACGAGTTACTGACCAAGCTAAAAAATGAAATACAGGCTTAAACAAAAATAGAAGAGTGCTTTATTTTACTTCCACCTTCATCCCTGAAATGTTTTAAACAATTTTTAAAAAGAATTATCCAATCCTTAATAATGAACTTTTCAGAAAACCAAAGCTCACCCTCCGAGCACCATTCATCTTGTCAAACTAGTGCTAGTTTATCCCCCTCTGCATGGAAGAGGACTGTTTCATTACAAGAGACAATTGTGACACATGGAAGCTCTAGGCGTGAGCACTCAGCAGTCCTGATGGTGACAACAGTGCTGTCTCTTCCCTCTCCAGTGACGACCACTGCCTGCTGTCTCGGCATTATTTTACACACAGATGGCAATGAGTACCTCATTCATAGTTTTTCTCATTCTCTTCCAGGTTTGTTCCTATGCTCTAGCCCTCTTCTAGATAATCCAATGTTTCCTTCCATTCTCTATAGAGCCACTTAATAAAGCCCCACCTATTTTGGGTCCCATGAGGGCCTTGTTCCATGGACAACATGCCATCTGGCCAGGAACCAGGTTGGTTTGATGGTGCTGCTTGGCCATAAGGACTGACCCCCATCCCCATGGGAATCTCACCAGGCCCTGGGGGAGCAAAAAAAAAAAAGGTGGGTGGGATAAATGTTCAAATAAGTCAATGGCAAAAGTTGGCCTAAAACATTCAGCTTTCTTTTCTTGTGAAGGGGCTACTTACGCATCTGAAGCATCTGCGGCTGCGGATGCTGCTGTTGCTGCATCACCGGTCTCGCACCTGGGACGCTATTGGACCGAAGTGGCATGGCAGGCAGCGAGCCGCCCATGGCAGGTCTGGGTAAAGAAGCATTATAATCAGTTCCTGGTCTCCCCATGGCATTTGAATTCACAGGTTCCATGCGGCTGGCCTTTGAGTTCGGTAAGCCCCAGTCTCCTGAGGAAGGCGCCTGATTCACAGTCACATTTCTGTTTGGTCCACCTAAAACAGAAACGATGAGGTATTTTCCATATTGGAAAGAAATTCTTATGTCATACAGGTGCAACCATTAGACACATGATCCTTGACAAAAAAGTGCTCTGTCATTCTCAGATTAGGGCTGGCCAACAATTTCTGACAGGTCACCACAGGCATACCTTTGCTGTATTGTGCTTTGCATATACTGCAATTTTACAAACTGAAGGTTTGTGACAACCCTATGTTGTCAGATGATGGTTAGCATATTTTAGCAATAAAGTGTTTTTAAATTAAGGTATGTACCTTCCTTTTTGATACAGTTCATGAATTTCTAACAGCAAGTATACTGGCGAGATTTGCCATTCTCTCCTCTAGTAGATCACGTTTTGTCAGAACTCTCTGCTATGACCTGTCCATATGCAGTAGCCCTACAGAGCATGGCTCATAGCTTCGTATCAAAAAGATATGACACCAAAAGATGAGTTCCCCAGGTCTGAAGGTGTCCAGTATGCTCCTGGGGAAGAGTGGAGGACAACTACTAACAACCCCAGAAAGAATGAAGCGGTTGGGCCAAAGCGGAAACAACACTCAGTTGTGGATGTGTCTGGTGATGAAAGTAAAATCTGATGCAGTATAGAACAGAATTGCATAGGAACCTGAAATATTAGGGTCCACAAATCAAGGTAAATTGGATGTAGTCAAGCAGGAGATGGCAAGAATTAACATCTTAGGAAACAGTGAACTAAAATGGACGGGAATGGGTGTATTTAGATAACCATTATATCTACTACCGTGGGGAGGAATCCCATAGAAGAAATGCAGTAGTCCTCATAACCAACGAAAGAGTCTAGAATGCATTTCTTGGGTGCAACCTCAAAAATGACAGAATGATGTCGGTACGTTTCCAAGGTAAGACATTCAACATCACAGCAATTCAAATCTACACTCCTACCACTGAGGTCGAAGAAGTTGAAATTGATCAGTTCTATGAAAACCTAGAAGACCTCCTAAAACTAACACCAAAAAAAGTCTATTCATCACTGGGGATTGGAATGCAAAAGTAGGGAGTCAAGAGATACCTGGAGTAACAGGCACATTTGGCCTTGGAGAACAAAATGAAGCAAGGCATAGGCTAACTGAATTCTGCCAAGAGCATGCACTTGTCATAGCAAACACCCTTTTTCAACACCCTTGACTTTACACATGGACATCACTAAATGGTCAATATCAAAATCAAACTGATTACATTCTTTGTAGCCAAAGATGGAGAAGCTGTACACAGTCAGCAAAAACAAGACATGGAGCTGACTGTGGCTCAGATCAAACTTCTCATATTAAAATTCAGGCTTAAACTAAAGAAAGCGGGAATAACCACTAGGCCAGCCAGGTAGGACTTAAGTCAACTCCCCTGTGAATATGCAGTGGAGGTAACGAATAAGACTCAGGGTATGAGATCTAGTTAACAGTGTGCCTGAAGACCTATGGACAGAGGCCCATAATATTGTACAGGAGACAGCAAACAAAACCATCCCAAAGAAAAGGAAAAGCAAGAAGGCAAAGTGGTTATCTGAGGAGGCTTTACAAATAGCTGAAGAAAGAAGAGAAATGAAAAGCAAGGGAGAAAGGGAAAGGTACATCCAACTAAACGCAGAGTTCCAAAGAACAGCACAGAGAGACAAGATGGCCTTCTTCAATGAACAGTACAAAAACTAGAAGAAAACAAAAGAAGGAAAAAAGACTAGACATCTCTTCAGGAAAACTGGAAATATCAAGGGAACATTTTGCCCAAAGATGGGCACAATAAAGGACAGAAATGGTAGAGACCTAGTAGACACTGCAGAGATCGAGATGAAAAGAATACAGGCAAGAACCATAAAAATATCTTAATGAACCCGAATACTACGATGGTGTGGTCAGTCACCCAGAGCCAGACATTCTCGAGACTGAATTCAAGTGGGCCTTAAGAATCACTGCCGTAAATAAAACCAGCAGATGCAATGGAATTCCAGTAGAGCTATTCAAAACCCTAAAAGATGATGCCATCAAGGTGTTACATTCAAAGGTCAGCAAATCTGGAAGACCCAGCAGCAGCCACAGGACTGGAAAAGCTCAATCCTCATCCCAATTCCCAAGAAGGGTAGTACTAAAGAATGTGCTAATCATCGGACAATTGGACTCATCTTCCATGCTAGTAAGGTCAAGGCTAAAATTCTGCATGCTAGGCTTCTGCATTATGCTAACCAAGAACTTCCAAAAGTCCAAGCTGGGTAGAAGAGGAAGAGGAACCAGAGATCAGACTGCCAACATTTGCTGGATCATAGAGAAAGCTAGGGGATTCCAGAAAAACATCTATCTCTGTTTCATCGACTAAGCTAAAGCCTTTGTGTGGATCATAACAAACTACAGAAAGCTCTTAAAAAAATACCAGGCCTTCTTATCTGTCTCCTGAGAAACCTGTAAGCAAGTCAAGAAGCAACTGTTAGAACCCTGTATGGAACAACTGATTGGTTCAAGATTAAGAAAGGAGTACAACAGCGCTGTCTGCTGTCACCCTGTCTGTTTAACCTATATGATGAGCAAATCATGAGAAATGCTGGGCTGGATGAGTTACAAGCTGGAATCAAGATAAGCAGGAGAAACATCAACAACCTCAGATATGCGGATGATACTACTCTAATGGCAGAAAACAAAGAGATTCCTGATGAAGGTGAAGGAGGAGAGTGAAAGAGCCAGTTTAGAACTAACTATTAACAAGACTAAGATCACAGCATCTGGCCCCATTACTTCATGGCAAATAGAAGGGGAAAAGGTGGAAGCAGTGACAGGTTTCCTGTTCTTGGGATCCAAAATCACTGCAGATGGTGACTGCAGCTGTGAAATCAGAAAACGGCTGTTTCTTGGCAGGAAAGCTATGACAACCCTAGACAATGTGTTGAAAAGCAGAGACATTACTCTGCTGACAAAGGTCCATATAGTCAAGGCTATGGTCTTCCCAGTGGTCACGTACGGTTGTGAGAGTGGGACCAGAAAGGCGGCAGAATGCCAAAGAATTGATGCCTTTGAACTGTGTTGCTGGAGAAGACTCCTGAAAGTCCCTTGGAAAGCAAGGAGATCAAACCAGTCAATCTTAAGGGAAATCAACCCTGAACACTCACTGGAAGGACTGATGCTGAAGCTGAAGCTCCAGTATTTTGGTCATCTGATGCAAACAGCCGACTCACTGGAAAAGTCCTTGATGCTGGGAAAGATTGAGGGCAGAAGGGGAAGAGGGCAGCGTCAGAGGATGAGATGGCTGGATGGCATTACCAATGCAATAGATGTGAACTTGGGCAAACTTCAGGAGATGGTGAAGGACAGGGAGGCCTGCCATGCTACAGTCTATGGGGTTGCAAAGAATCGGACACAAACAACAACATTCTTTTTTAGACATAATGCTATTGCACACTTAAAGACTAGAGTACAGGCTTCCCTGGTGACTTAATGGTAAAGAATCCACCTGCCAATTCAAGAGACACGGGTTTAAACCCTGGTCTGGGCAGATCCCACATGCCTCAAAGCAGCTAAGCCCATATGCCGCAACTATTGAGTCTGTGCTCTAGAGCCCAGGAGCTCTTCAGTACTGAAGTCCACATGTCTAGAGTCTATGCACGGGAACAACTGAAGCCACCACAATGAGAAGCCCGCACACCACAACTAGAGACTAGTGCCCATTCGCCGAAACTAGAGGTAAGTCCACACAGCAATGAAGACCCAGCACAGTCAAAACTATGTAATTTTTTTTTTTTAAAGAGCAAGACTACAGTATAATGCAACCTAACTATTATGCACTGGGAAATCAAAAAATCCACGACTTGCTTTATTGTGAAGACTCCACATCCCCAATGCAGGGGACACAGGTTCAGTCCCTGGTTGTGGAACTAAAAATTACACATGCTGCATGGCACAGCCAAAAATAAAGAAAAGAAAATGTCTTGGACAGAAAGCCTCCTTGAGAGTTTAAATCACCAAGACACAGAATAAGCAAAGGATGTTCATGAAAGAAGCATGCTCCTGTTATTCAAAAACCTATTAACTCTATTTCAGTGGCTACAGGTATTTTAACTTTGCTTTTCCCAAAAGAAATTTAAATTAGACCCTGATGCTGGGAAAGACTGAAGGCGGGAGGAGAAGGGGACGACAGAGGATGAGATGGTTGGATGGCATCATCGACGTGATGGACATGAGTTTGAGCAAGCTCCAGGAGTTCGTGATGGACAGGGAAGCATGGCGTGCTGCAGTCCATGGGGTCACAAAGAGTCAGACACAACTGAGCGAATGAACTGAACTGATATTAATTAGAAATAACATACCCATATTTGAGCCGTAATTTTCCTGACTATCCATCATTCTTGGATTGCCACCCAACATGGGTTGCTTTGGTAACATAGGGAAAGCACCAATATTCTTCACTGGAGGACTTGAGCCAACGGAAACAGGACTGTCTAGAGACACTGCCCGGTTATACGGAGGACGGACAGGCTGCACAGACTGTGGACTCCTCAAACCTGTTAAAAACATAGAAGCACGATACATAAGTATCTTCTGATGGTGCAGTACACAATTAAGTACAAAACATAAATACCAATACCACCCACCCAAGAATATCTTTCTTTCCAAAATGAACACTGTCTTCTTTTACAAAATAAACACCAAGCACCAAAAGAAATTCAAAAGAATAAAGAAAATAGGCCTCTTATTTCTAATAAAGTAAAAAAACAAGAGTCCTGGTGTTGGCTGAAGCATTGGGCACTTTTCTACAGCCTGACATGGTCATTCACATTCAGTTTCACTTTATATTCAATATAAAGATTTCACCAATGTTTCAATGTACTGGAAGTCCTTCAATATGCATATTTAGTTTAAAATTTTACATTTAAAAATAACCAGATAAGTTGCTTCTAGTCAAATAAGGACTATTACATAAAGTTTCCAAATCTTTTTTCCAATCTATTAGATTGATCTAACTATCTATGCATTGCAGTTGAGGAAACAGTGCCACTAAAAATGAATAACCACCTTTCCAGATAATTGTGGGATTACTCTTTTTCAATTGATACACATAATATATCCTTGTTAGACTGATGAATCTAGAAATACTCAGCTATAGGCAAAAAGTTAGGTGAAACCAGCAAACACCAAAGTAAATTAGTATCAAAGGACAGGTTTTGATTTGCTTTTTAATCTGATTCTCTGTGGCCAAGACAAATAAAGGTACTAGTAGGGACCTAGTACCTACGACTCACCTGTAGCAACCAAAGAAGAATATTTTCCTATAATCTCTGTGATTGCTAGCCTCATATTAGTTAGAAATGGGAAACTGTACAAAAAGCTTTTTAAAACACCTACGTTATAAATTAGTAAAAAAAAAATAAAAACTAAGGAAGAGTACACGTTTTAAAGTTGGGTCCTAGTCTTAATGTAAGAGTACACATAGGTGTGCAGGAAAGTTCAAAAGGCGGCAAGAATAAAATCTAGTTCTTTCTTACCCAGAGAATTAGCTCCTTGAAACATCTGTGGCTTAGTTCCCAGATTACTACCACTTGTGGATATGGAATTATTGTAGAAGTCAGAATTAGTCAGATCACCAAGAATAGCATCTAGATTATCCAAGTCTCCGGATCCCTGAAAATATTTTATTTTCAATTAACCTGTGTTCATTATGAGATACATAGGTATAAACATATTCATCAGAAGAGATGAAATGGGAACAAGTAAAATACAATAGTTACCCTAAATGGTAATGCCCAATGTAGAGGGTGGCTGATTATGACTATCCCTACACTTCTACCTTAAAAGTAAAACACAGATTCAAATACTGAGATAAATTGATAGGTTTGGAAATGCTTTCAAAGGGGCATTTTTTAAATTTACTCTAGATATGTAATTCTCAAACTGAAGGATATTTTCCAGCAAACATTAGTCAGAATCATGAGCTGATAGCAACATCTGCCTCTACACATACTTCTGAAAACACATATGATTAATAATAAAGACAAGCTGATGTTCAACAAATTCATAGCTATGCTTTAAAAAGGGTTTTTGGTCAGTACATTTGGGAAACACTAAAAAAATTAAACAGACATCCTAACAGTAGAACTTCTCCAAGACTTTAATTTTCTCAGGTGCATATTAACATCTCCCAGAGACGTTACACAGTGTCTGGCAAATGTTTGTACAGAATGTGATCATGTACACGAAACTTGATTTTAGGTAAAAATCAAAATTATCTTCCTTAATTCAGAAGATTTTTTCCCCCATTTCTTCTACACACATAATGACCTAATGTGCTCATTCCAACAAAAACCTCCATGAAAAATTCAAATTGGCTGCTAATGAGGTGAAGTCACATTTGAAAGCATATACATCTAATATTTCTAAATTACACAATATACTTTACTGATGCTCAGAAGTTACCAAAAAAATGACAGTTCCAGATTAACTTCCATTAAATAAACCTAAAAGACAAAGTAAGAATTTGTGTATAACCCATTGCCTTTAAAACACAGAAAAGATGAAATACAAGGATCAAGCTGGAATATACAGAAGACAAGTTACCTCTTCATTAGTTTCTGTCTTAATTTTAGCATCTTTCTCTTGACTCGAGCTCGGAATGGTGGAGCTGCTGCACTGACTCATTTTACTGTCCACGCCTTCCACTTTGGGCTGGAGGTCTTTGGAGAGTGTGTCACTAGGATCGTCCCTGTCCAGCAGATACCTAAGCAGAGCATTATTTTCCTTTTTCTTGGGACTGAGTTGCTCCTGCTTGACGTTTCCTTCTACGCAAGACGTAGTACTGCTAGTGTCTTTCCCAGTGGCTTCGGCAGTAATCTTGGCTACTTCTGCTGGTGAATTTCCATTCTGGAGCAACTTGTGCAAAATCCGGTGCTTCTCTTGCAGCAGTGATCCGTGCATGTTGGATGTGGAGGATACACCTCCAGAGGTGGAAGAGGAGACCCCAGAGGGGCTGGTGACACTAATGGAAGAGTCTTTACAACTTGAGTCCAGGGGGGAGTTGGTCAAGGAGGAATGACCCCGGTCATCAGAAGAACAGGTGAGTAACTGCAGTAACTTTTTATGACCTTTGCTTTCCAGAGGAGCCCGCTGATTCTCAGACCCTTCCACACTGCCCTCCTTACCTTCTTTGTCATTAATGTGATCTCTGCTATTTGACTGACACATTGAACTCTCCACTGGATTCTGATCGCAATACAAGCCTAGGGGACTCTTGGAATCCTGACTGTTCACTTTACTTGGTTGAGTTATATTCACATTGGGAGAGTTATCCAATTTGGGACCTGGTGAAGACAGTGTAGATAAAAGAGAAGTCCCCACGCCCTCACTGATAGCTTGAAGGGCACTCAGAGAGCTGCTAGAAAAGCTGTGACTCCCGGTATTGCCAGAAGATCCCATGGGAGAGTGCACACCTGGATTTGGGAAAAAACCAGGAAAAGAATTAAACTATCAGATGCTGTAACACACATTACTTACCAGTTCAAAGTTTCTATTTTAAAATAAATTACAAGAATTACAGTGGTATGCAAAGAAAAGAATCACTAAAAATAAAACAAAAAGCAACACAAATACCTGCAACAGGAGAAAACTGGTGTGAGGCCATCTTTGGACTCCCTCGATGGCGAGGGGAAATCATGATGCTCTGCTGGCTGGAGCTAAGACCGGGGCTCCCGTGGGGAGGGCTGCTCATGCCAAGGCCGTAGGCACTGTTCTGGTAGGAAGACGGCGACTGCACGCCTGGCCCGGGGTTCATGGAGGCTATGCTACCGGGAGCCCCATACCTGGCTCCACTCATCTGCCCCGTGGTGCCAGCGTCAGTTAAGCCGTAGGTCCTGCTGCTCAGCATCTGTAAGCCTGGGTTTGGTGACATACTCATGCCGCCTACCGAACTGTTGCATCCAGCTGCTGGAGGCCTAATGCCTTGTCCAACAGGATTCGGGTTTGGTCTATACCCATTCTGTTCCCTGCAAAGAAACAGAACACCACAGTTCCACTAAAAAACTACAGGTATGAGGACTCCCCTGGTGGAACAATGATGGAGAATTTAGCTTCCAGCACAGGGGAAGCCAGTTCAACCTGTGGTTGGGGAACTAAGATCCCCCACGGCATGGGGCTACCAAGCCTGCATGCAGCAACTACTGAGCCCATGAGCCGCAACTAAGGCCTAAAACAGCCAAATAAATTTTTAAAAATGTTAATTACAGGCATGTGTTAAAAGCCTGAGTCTGATCAAAAAAAAAAAAAAAGATGAAGAGTCCCAAGAAACTTAAGTTCTTGAGCATCATTCCAATGCCTAGTGACAATAACAATCTAGATACTGATTAGTCATTAATCTAATAACATACATTTTAATAAGCCACAGAATCTAAATGAGTGACACCACGAGAGCACCATAAAGGACCCAAAGTTATGTTAGCTGGAACCTTGGTGGGGTTTTACTGCAATTCCCCTATACTGAGGGGTTAACCTGGAGGTGCCTGCAAATTACTCAAGATAATTTATGGGTGAATATCCTGCTCCTTCACGTGTTGCTCATTTACTATTAGCAACAGCAACAGTAACCATTTCTTCTTGAAGTCTACCTCCAAATTTTAAATTCAATTCCTCAAAGTAATGTAATGTATCATTAGAAATGAAAAGTAACACAGATAGTCAGATTTTATGTATTCTTTTACATATTAGCCTTCCTATCCTCCAGCTTTCCCAGGAATTAATTATTTAATGAACAAATCACTCTCACATAGAAATGTAACCTTAAAAAAATAAACATCATACTACAGGAATCTAAGTGCACTTGAGCAAACCCAATAACCTGTTTTTCCTCATTAATTTTTCTCCCTTTTTACATTACAATAAAGCATCTTGAGACTACTGCTGCATTTAACATGAGAACTCACAGTAATCAACCATTACCTCTGAAGAAAGTGGGTTGAGACAAAGCCATGACGGTCATTTGTTACAGGATTTCGGAAGAGTTTGCTTTTTGTTTGCGCAGTCACTATAGTGCCATCAGCCAAAGAGAATCGATACAGCGGGGTTTCTGCATGGCCATGGATATAAGCTGTTGGGGAAAATATCCCATTAGTTGCAAATACAATTGGCAAAACAAACACATACAGAAGAAAAAAGAAAGTAAATATACAAGACCAACATCCTCAAAATCCAGCAAAAGACTAAATCTCACCAAAATTAGAAACAGGCTAAAATAACAATGTTCAACAATCATTTTCCTCCCCCACACAGATGAAAACAACCACTGTCGCACGCGCGCATGTGTGTGTGTGTGTGTGTGTGTGTATTTAAGGCTCTGTGTGTGTGTGTGTATTTAAGGCTCTATAGCACCCAAACATGACCAATGAAATCAAGAATCAACCTCCAAATTCCTTACCTTCTTGATAGTGACGTTTCTGGGACCACGACTGCCCATCATTAAGACTGAAAAATCTCTGGATACACCTTCGGATTATGTCTTCGAAGCCAGGTCTCATGGAGGATCTCAGTGAATTGGTATCTATAGTAATAACTTTCCCTATTAACAGAAAATTGCCACTGTGTTTAATTTCATCACTGTGGCTTGTTCAACTACAATGGCTTTCATTCTTTACTCTCATAGGCAAAAGGGCAGACCAAAATTAAAATTCATCCTGAGGTCAAGAATTACTCCCAGTAATTCTCATTAAATTACTCACATTTCTGAAAAATGTTTATGAAAAATGAGTTTGAAGCTACAGAAAAGAAATACCGGCTTCTGATTTGAAATGCCATTTGGAGAGAAAGCCAGGTATCTCTACCTTTTTTTTGTTGGTTTACTTGAGGGATTTGAAGTGTAGAACACACCCAACTCAAATGCCTAGGGTTCTGGTGAATCTCTCGCAGGGTTGTACAACAAACATCGCAAATAATCCAAGCAAAGTATTCATGACAGTGGGTGTGGGCACTTAAAAGACAGAACAGGCTGTAAAAAGTTAACTTATAAAAATTTCCAAAATGAATAAAATGTCCACACATGCAGTTTTTACCTGAAAGGTCGTGTCTAGTGATAAAGCTCTCAGGACTTGATGGAAATGCTCTCTCCCCGGTGGTAATGCGGCGTGCCACACAGATCATACAGGACTGCAAGTCTGCAACAGAAAAGTTAATCTCTGATGAGTCTATTCAATAGGTGAGTAAGAATGTGGAATTCAGTAGGAAGAATTAAACAAGTTTGGCTGCTATTGCTTGATAAAACATCATGGGCATGTGATGGCTCTCACCTTCCCCTTCCTCCATCATAGCCCGTGGCTGGGACAGGGCAAAGCACTGCATCGTTTCGTATCTCTGGCGCATTTCAGGACTGGTGCTTATGTCTTCTAGAATGTCATGTGGTGTTTTCGTCAACAAACGGCAGTTAAATGTATGGCTTTTTTGTCTCTGGGTCTCATTTGTCCAGGTAACTCCATTAACTTTAGAAAACAAATAAGAGTTTTGTAAAAGCTGGCAATTCAGTCCATAACTATTATCAAGAATTTAAGCTATAAATCAACTATTTGCCAATAAGAAAAAAAAAGAATTTAAGTTGTATATATTTTCTCATTATACATCTTCCACAGTACAATACATTTCAAAGCGACAATATATAAAACACTGGAATAACTTCAATTTCAATAGGTATCTCACATATTTTGTAACTCACTGTATATCTTAGACCCATGACATATATAAAAAATTTTAAATTCATATTTGAAAATTTTGCTATTTATAATTTGCGCTGTTCTATATAGTCATCACTTGATTTTCAACAGTAAATATTTTCTAAGAAATGATTAAGAAAAAAAATTTTTTAACTTCCTTGGAAAATATACTTTTAAAAACCTACCTGTAGATTTTGGTAAGTTTTTAAGAAAATCCTTTCTATCTTCTTCATGCAATATATTGTAGACACTTGTATTAACCAGGTCCTCTTGCTTATATTGCAGGTACTGGGTGACATTTTCTGACACAAATACAATGTTTCCTTCACGATTCACCACAAATAGGAAGCCGTCCAATGCCTGAAATGGGATATGTTAACACTGGCTATTATGGACTGAACTGTATCCCCTCCCCAACCACAATTTGTATGTTGAAGCCCTAAATCTCAGTGTGACTCTATCTGGAGATAAGGCCTTTTTAGGAGGTAATTAAAGTTAAATGAGGTCATGAGAGTAGGGCTCTAATCCAACAGGACTGGTGAGGCACACACACAGAGAAAAGGCCACATGAAGAAACAAGGAGAAAGCAGCCATCTACAAGCCAAGGAGAGAGTCAGGAGAAACCAAGACTGCGAACACCTTGATCTTGGACTCCCAGCCTCCAGAACTGTAAAAAATAAATTTCTATTGTTTAAGCCACCCCACCTGTGGCATTTTGTTATGGCAGCCTTAGTACTAAACAGAATTTGAAAAAAAACTGCTGATTTAACAACTAAAGCCATCATGTATTAACATTAGCAACAGCAATAAAGGGTTTAGGAAAAATACAGATGATTTGAAAAGATGACAGTAAAGATGAAATTTTAATTAATTTATAATCTAATTTTTATAAGAATTACCTCTTCAAAGAAGTTTTTAAAAATTAAAAAAAAAAAAAAATCACCCTGAATGCTTCTCCCCTTTCCATCTGGTATCAAGTCAAGCTACAGGAACTAGAGCACTCTGTAGTGAGAATTTACAGAGGAACTGAACTGATCCACTAAAAACCAGTTGGAACAAACCAACTAGAACAAAAACATCTGCTAAGTGAGCTTTAACAAAGGGCTTCTAGCCATCACTTAAAATAAGAGAAACCACATGTAAAGTACAACAGATTAACCAGATCTATTAAAGACAACTATTCACAAAAAATATCTAAAGTCTTAAAAATTCCTCCAAAATATGAAATTATAGTGCCATACTATCAATTATGGGAAAATGCACCAAAAAAGTCTGAGCCAATAAAAAAACATTCCCAAAAGCATGGGGGGGGCCGCAGGTAAGGGGGGTACATAGGACCTCATGAGTTACATGTATTTTAAACATAAGAGCATTTTATAATCATATTCAGAATACCGAGTTCTAGCCCATGAAAAGAAACATTTTCTTTTTGCTCTCATATCCTACCCAAAATTTTATCTTTTTCTTTTTTTTAAATTCAACACTGCTTACTTTAAACCTAAAACTTTATACTTGCCTGAAGTAAGAGTGGTCCTAAGGAGTCTTTATCAATAACTCCTTGTCCTGTGGAAGATACATCAGCTTTCTGAACATCATCATCATTGGAAATAGCTTTTCCTGAAAAGACATAAGGCAGTACTACAAATAGCATATGTATCAGTTACAGTCTAAATGCACCTTCAAATTGTTCCCAGGACAGGGAGGCACACACACACCAATGTGCATGTGCACATGTACAATGTTTTCTGATAAGAAAATGATGCTACAATTTTTAAAGGTTAAAATTAAACTTCTGAGTTACCCAGGAGTGTAGAAGATACTCTAAATTTTCTTTCCCTACTAAAAGCACTATTTCACTGCTTCCTGAAAGGGAACTAACAAATAACAGGGTGAGCAGCCCTGGCCTCCTTCCAATTCTGGAGACTATGTCCTAAGGAGCAAAACTGGTCAACTACTAGCCTCAAGGAATAGCAGTTCCCACCTAAGCAACAACGGAGCAAAAGACAAATGTGAACCCAGTTAACAAGTTCCTGCTAAAAGACTTGAGTGTTTTCTTACTTTGTATTACCTTGCTCTTTTATTTGACGTATCTGTCTTACTGTTTCCTTTAAAATTGCACATTTATCTGGTTTGACATTGAAATTGTCAATATCACTAAGATTAGCAGATATTAGTTCAGCCAATTCTTCAATATATTTACTCTCCTGCTCCCGTCTCCACTTTTCACCACTGCAGGCAAGGCTGGGAAATGGGGGGAAAATGCCATAAATATATCGGTCACAAACAAGCTAAGAGCAGAATCAGTACCTACACAATACCATTAAATCTATATACTAGCAAAGTAATTTCAGCCCACAGAGACTCCCAAACAATGTCTTGGAGACCTAATACAATACAGTTGAAATCTGTGCAAACCTAAATTCAAGTCCACCTGTTGTTAGCCTGGTGGCCTTAGTCAGTTAGCTTCACTTCATCATCTGGAAAATGGGGATAGTCTTTACCACAAAGAGACAGTAAAATTACCAAATAATTAAACAGTAATAACTATTTATTAATAGCAAAGTCTCATGAATTATACTGATGATAAGGTTGTTTTTTATTTTGCAACCCTGACAGTGAAATTTAAGTGATACTGACCTTGGCAAATACTAAAAAAGCTATGAAGTATCACTGCATAAAATGTAGTATTTCATTTCTATTTTTTAAACTTCTAACTTCACTCAGCAAAAGAATGATAAAACCTCACAAATGCCAAAATATCAACTTATAACATGTTCTTAAAGGATACTAAAGATTCTTACTTGTAATAATCTTATCTATTTGCAACTCCTACATCCTCCATTGAGAAATGCTTCTTACAGTAGCACAGTTAGCATATATTTAAACAAATAAACGATAAAAATCTAACCAGAAAATGCAAATAACAGAAAGCTGAAATGTTAACTTCAAACCAAACAAATAAAGGCAAGGGGAGGTGATCTTGGTGACGCATCAGGAAATAAACTGCTTACCCTTGCCCTGGAGGATCACATGGCAACTTGCGTTTTCGTGAATCAGGGGCCAGTGGATCCAAGGCGTTTTCTCCTAATCCACTCATCGTGAATATACATTAGCAACTAAGAGAGAATGATGAGATAAAAACACTGTAAAATATCCATGACTCTAATAAAGGCATGATATGCCTGAACGGCTGCATTTTGTAATTCAGGACTACTTTTCTTAAATGGCTGGATAAGTCTCCATATTCTTTATAGTACACAACTGTTCTGAAGACCTCAAGAGTTCATACTCCACTAATTAGACAGAATGTCCAACCCTGGGACAAAGTTTCTCAAGACCAAGTAATGTGTATACTGAATATCTCACAAAGAACAAGGCAACTTTTTCATATCTAATAAGAAAAAGAGACCATCAACTCCTCAACTGATAAAATAGTAAATTATACTTCTATATAAATAAGATCCTATGTGGCCAATTGGTAAAAAGTCTTCAAATGATAAATCTCAGTTATTTTCATGCTATTTTCAAAGTAGCGCATTTTTTTTTCCTGTAGACCATTTCTTTAGTATTCATCATCCAATGTATTTTCCTTCTGCTACTTCAAAATAAGCTGAGACTCCGTAAATAATATGTAAGCTCCGATACATTCTGCTTACAAAGTAGATGTACAACAAAAAAAATCCAGGTGGGAGGATTTTGAAAAGATCCACAGAGCAACAACTCTTTTAATATTAACTGGTGGAAGGGAAGTATGCCTTGATTAAAGGTGCATTGATTAAAAAAAATTTTTTTTAATAAGCTATTTCTAAAATACCTTAAAAAATAAGGTATTTCTAAAAAATAATGGTATTTCTTGTTGGAAAAAGAAATACTCAGTAGCTGATAATTTTAGCACATTTAACTTATATGCAGAGTACATCATGAGAAACGCTGGGCTGGAGAAAGCACAAGCTAGAATTAAGATTGCCAGGAGAAATATCAATAACCTCAGATATACAGATGACACCATCCTTATGGCAGAAAGTGAAGAAGAACTGAAGAGCCTCTTGATGAAAGTGAAAGAGGAGAGTGAAAAAGCTGGCTTAACGCTCAACATTCAGAAAACTAAGATCATGGCATCCAGTCCCATCACTTCATGGCAAATAGATGGGGAAACAGTGGAAACAGTGGCTGACTTTGTTTCATTGGGCTCCAAAATCACTGCAGATGGTGATTGCAGCCATAAAATTAAAAGACACTTGCTCCTTGGAAGGAAAGTTATGACCAACCTAGACAGCATATTAAAAAGCAGAGACATTACTTTGTCAACAAAGGTCCGTCTAGTCAAGGCTATGGTTTTTTCCAGTAGTCACGTATGGATGTGAAAGTTGAACTATAAAGAAAGCTGAGTGCCAAAGAATTAGTGCTTTTGAACTGTGGTGTTGGAGAAGATTCTTTAGAGTCCCTTAGACTGAAAGGGGATCCAACCAGTCCATCCTAAAGGTAATAAGTTCTGGGTGTTCACTGGAAGGACTGATGTTGAAGCTGAAACTCCAATATTTTGGCCATCTGATGCGAAGAGCTGACTCATTTGAAAAGACCCTGATGTTGGGAAAGACTGAAGGCAGGAGGAGAAGGGGATGACAGAGGATGAGACAGATGGCATCACCGACTCAATGGACATGAGTTTGGGTAAACTCCAGGAGTTGGTGATGGACAGGGAGGCCTGGCAAGCTGCAGTTCATTGGGTTGCAAAGAGGTGGACACGACTGAGCAACTGAACTGAACTGAACTGAACTAAGACTTCACTCAACAAGAAATTTACTTGTCCTAAACTCTTGTTTATGACGGCGCTGTTATAAAGAACTCCAAGTCAACAGAGAAACTTAACGCCAAACTACTTTTTCTTAATTTGTTAAAGCGCATCTTGCATTCTATCCACAGTTCGAGACCTACACAGAAGGACATAAACTTCCACTAGGTGGCACAATCCTGCCAGGAAGAGAGAGAAATCAATAGAGAAGCAAAATTTCACACAAGAAACAAAATATTCAGCTTCAGAAAAACCAAAATCAGAGTTTTAGACTACATTATCATCTTTACAGATGTCCTAGGTATGAATTAAACACTAGCAAAATTTATTCTACCAGTAATTTTGGTAAAAAAAACATAATGGCTGAAGAGATGTTATGTCTCAAGAACTTGGTGTTTTTTTCCTTTAAGTTAAAATAAAGGAGAGAAAAGAACTTAAATAATGGCCCAAAGTTATGATTTTACAGGGTAACCAGATCCCACAATGCCACAATATTATATTCTTCAAAAATGACAATGTCAAAAAAGACAAAGTCTTTAAATATTCTATATGAAAGAAAGCCAAAGAGAAATGATAATTAAATCAATATTTGATCCTATATTGAATCCTGTGCTCTAGACAGGGAAAATGCTATAAACAACATTATTGGATCTATTGACAATTTAGAACATAGACAACAGACACAGTATTTTACCAATGTTAAATTTACTGAAGTAGATTTCTGTACTGTGGTTATTTAAGAAACTACCCCTATTCTTAGCATTTAAGACAAAAAGGCCATTATGTACACAAAGGACCCTCCAATGGTTGGAAGGAGGGTTTACATACCTATAAGTGAGTGAGTGAGAGAGAGAAAGGAACAGAAGAAGAGGGGGAAAGGGAGGGGAAGAAGAGACTAGAAAGGAGGCTAGCAAATTGTTGACACTGGTTGAATCTCAGTTGGGCAAAAATTTTTTAATTTTTTGTACTATTCTTTTTCTTACTACTTTCAGTTCAGTTCAATTCAGTCGTTCAGTCATATCCGACTCTTTGTGACCCCATGAACAAAAGCACGCCAGGCATCCCTGTCCATCACCAACTCCCGGAGTTCACCAAAACCCATCTCCATCAAGTCGGTGATGCCATCCAACCATCTCATCCTCTGTCACCCCCTTCTCCTCCTGCCCTCAATCTTTCCAAGCATCAGGGTCCTTTGAAATGAGTCAGCTCTTCGCATCAGGTGGCCAAAGTACTGAAGTTTCAGCTTCAACATCACTCCTTCCAATGAACACCTAGGACTGATCTTTAGGATGGACTGGCTGGATCTCCTTGCAGTCCAAGGGACTCTCAAGAGTCTTCTCCAACACCACAGTTCAAAAGCATCAATTCTTCGGCGCTCAGCTTTCTTTATAGTCCAACTCTCACATCCATACATGAC